GTACCAACGCGGAGTTTGAATCCAGAAGTTTCGGCGTCCACTGCGTGCTCCAATGTGTATTATCAGGGACATAACCCATCGGCCCGGGGTACAATGTGCATCTCGCTACAAGCAGACGATTTAACCATCGCGAGTAGGGGGACTCGGGACTGTTTGCTGTAGCAAAGAGTCCCTACCACGTTACAGCAGCGCCCCTATCGAGTGCCATCACACCGCAAGCCAGTGAGTGCCTACGCTTCCGTCAGCAGGGCTACCAACTTCCATCAGCTACTGCTAACTTCCATCAGACAAACCCAATAGACTACACGCTGCATATCTCGTCCAAAGACAAGTCCTCCCTAGGAACCGTATTAGCGACGGCTACAGCGACCATCCCCCAGCTCCGGACTTATTGAGGGCTCGTTTTGGCCCTCTTGTTGACGATACCATTAGGGATAGCCCCGTGCCTCAATCGCACCAGTCTCCCTTCTGTATTAATGTGAGTCTGCATGCCACAATGCCAATTAGCAGCTCTAGTAGCCGTCCGTTCCGACGGGGATAGGTTCCAGATTAGGGAGACATTCGAAAACCCCGCCGGAGTCGCCCCCACCTTAGGGCAACAATCGGACAGCAAGCTATTAAAAGGCTTGGTACACAGACCCAAAGCCTAAGATGTAATAACGCCTCTGGAACCTTCGGCTCGATTCGTAAGACTCCATCAACGATCGAGACCAAGACGAGTCTTTCGGGACCCAGTACCCGTTGTCTCTCACCGCCTGGCCCCCCCGCCACGTCCAGGCTCGGTTCCCTACCCGGGGGGAGTTGAAGTTGTTGGTATATATAGTGTTGGCCCGTTAGTACTGGGTGTACAACTTCGGTCGTACATATTCTAAAATTGAAACGATACAGAGAAGATTAGCATGGCCCCTGCGCAAGGATGACACGCAAATTCGTGAAGCGTTCCATAATTTTTTTTTTTTTTATTTAACTATTGGAATCGTTTCCACGCCGAAACGAACGTCTCTTACCAGGTGAGCGGTATATCTGAAAACTCGTGAACTTTTTTTTATCAATCTTTATTTTTAACTTGTATTATACAAATATAATACAAGGTGAAAATAAAGATTGTTTGTTCCTCCGAATAACTTTTGTTTTTCTCGGTCGCAAAAACCAAAACACCAGTGGATTAGGTCCTATTAATAAGCTTAGTCCTCGTAGACAAACAGTTAACAAATTGTATTTTAATACACTTCATCAAGTCATCTTTAAAAAAGTTTTTTTTTGTCGACCCATTCAATATTATGTATATATTATACAATATTATATTATATATAATATAACCTGTAATATAATTTTTAAAAGACATTTATTTAAGTGCAAGAAATATGAGCAAAAGTTTAAATATTTGCAAAGTTTTAATCATTCAGGCAAATTTTCATCGACAGCTAAAGGGTCAATACCGACTCCGCCGAGAATCCCGAAGTTAATATAATATAATGTATTTAACAAAATATTTCAATTTTAGAATTAATAAATCACAGGAAGGACAATTGTAAATTACTTATCAGCAGTTTATAATAAATTTAAATTTGATTTTGTACGCGAGTTTTTCAACGAAACACCTAAACACTTTGGGTTTTTAACATCAAACGGCATAAGAATGCTACTCAGAAGCGGGCGGGTGGATAAAATAGAACAAGAAGCTCTTCACCTGCCGTTAACGAACGACAAGAGTTCTGAGTTGGAACGATACAGAGAAGATTAGCATGGCTCCTGACAAGATCAAGAGTTCTGGGTTGTCAGAATCTCACCAAGCGTTGGAAAGAATGCTATTCCACAAGTGGCCAACATCACTTGTCGACAGCTCTTCCTAACTCGCACAATGAAAATACTTATACCTCTGAATACTCCAGATTCAGCTATTCGAAACTCACCGTATTATTACTATCTAAACTAAAGGATGCAATACTACAAAAACTAGTAATAAAAAAAGACAGAAATCTATAAATACACCTGGATTTAATAAAATGCACATTAGGGCCACAAAATTTAGTTCAATCTCATACCTCATACCGAACCTCATTGACCAAAAACAAAAACCAAAAAAAAAAAAATATATATATATACTCTCTCTAAGCGGGATTTAATAAAGCGGACACAGAGCCTTTTCAATCTCCGGTCAGCCTCTTCACTCGAGCGGGCTTTAGAAAGCTCTCTGTGTTTCGTTTTTCTAAGCCTCACCGTCTTTTGTCTTCATCCGAGCGGGTCTTAAAAATGCGGGACACTTGGAGCCTTCTCTGCCTCTCGTCAGATCTCATGTCTTCGTACGAGCGGGCCTTAAAGATGCGGAACACAAAGATTTAGTTTGAGTAAAGAGTAACAGGCAACGCAGAGAGCCCTTTCTGTTTTCCGTACATTACTGAAGTTTACTTAATCGCAATTTTTTCGAGAAAGAAACGCAGAACTTCGAACAAATTTACGTTTAACAATGGCCACCTACAATAGAAAGAGCCAACAATATATTCTAACAATTCGTTACGTATTGTTAGAATATATTGTTAAGAACGCGCGACGTATTACGATCCCGTCATATTTTTACGTCACGTGTTACGTAGGAACATTAATCGGTTTGAAATATTTCAGTAAAGATTATTTTAATGAAATAATATTTATTAGAAACAGGATTACTTTAAGTATTTTTTTAAGTTAAAATAATGTTTTTTTTTTCTAATAGATAAAATTATGTCATTTATTTATTCTAAAGTAATGTTATCTGTATTTTTGAAAATACAAAGAAGAATTTGTAATGATTGCGACCCTTTGCTGCTACCAGAATGTCTTAATCGAAGACAGCGTTAACGTGGTCTAACTGTATTAAAAATGTATGATAATAATTCAAGTTTTGTAAAACCTTCACACTTGGGGACCCAGGGCTTAAGCCCTATTAGTCCTTATGTAGATCCCCCCTGGGTGTATCATACGTTTTTCATTTTTTTTTTAAATTTATCAACGCTTTCTTCTTATCGAAAAGGTAACCTAAGGGAAGTTGGCAGAGAAGGCAAATGATGACAAGTGTTTTACAAAAGAAAGCCGTTTATTTGGTAACGTTTATGCTTACATCGATAATTGACAGTTCCACTTTTTTATAGTCCTTCGTTGAGGCGAGAACTTCGGCTTTGGTCGTAGCCCCGAAGCGGACGAGATAGGATCGTTGCACGTTGCAGATGATTGCAGAGATGCTGTGGTGTTTTAAGTTGTCAGCGGCGACACAATACAATATAGAGCACGACTTTGCTTGATCCAGAGGAAGACTCTTCTTTGATCATAAATTTCCGATTTTTATAGGTTTTCTTTTGCTATCCGTATTTCCAATTGGCTCCTCGTCCCCTTTATCGCTTGCCGATTGGCCTCTCCTTTGTTTGTAGCGGCCGGATGGCCGAGCGATCAAGGTGGCAGCCTACCGCTCTAGGGGAACCGGGTTCGAATCCGAACGGGTCGAAAAATCCCAAGGAATTTTCCGGGGGGTGGTCCGTTCGGATATGTCGGGCCCCGTCCCTCACCACCCAGCAGCCCCATTGTGGGCCTAGCCGAACCCATAATGGACTTGCAAAAAAAGGCCCTCTTAGTGCTCACAGGGCGGAAAGAGTTAAAAAAAAAAAGAAAAAAAGAAGGTCTCTCCTTTGTTTCGGGAGAAAACCGAAACCGACTAGGGTCACGGGAAAGGTCCGATTCCAGGTGTGTATTCGACGCCTTTTTGTCGATTGTGATTGAAGATTGTTCATAAAACCGCAAGAGTCGAATTCATAATTTAGCCTGTTATTTGTGATTTCTGTCATCTGGGAACTTTGACGATCATACGCGATGTTTTTCTATCTCTTAAATCTTTCCCCTGTTTTCCGAAATTATTTCCCTAGATTGATATTTATGAGCGCTTGTGTCAAAGTTCTAACTTTTCAACTTGACATTAACAGATCGTTTAATATATGTTGGAGTCGTTCCGGAACACATACGCTAACAAGAAATATGGCTGGAAACCGCCATATTTCTTGTTAGCGTATGTGTTCACTTTCGAATTAAACAAGCAAGCACGAATACACGTGCTAATGACGTCACATCCGGTTATCAGAATTAGCACTGCTAACTCAGAAGTAAACGCACCCTATGTATCTAACCCAAAGATGCACGTGTTTTCACGAAAAAGTTTTCTTTGCCTACCTACAGGTGGCGCTCAACTCAGTTCCACTAGCTCTATAACTGCTAATTTAAACAGGCTCAAAGACAACCACAAACAAAATCTATTACTACATCATATGCTGCAAAACCATGTGGATATCGATCTCGCACAAGATACCAGGCTAAGAGACAATTGGAACACAACGCAATTCAGGAATAAAATTGACAACTACTTTAACTGCGTTTGTTCATTCGGCGACGGTACAAGCAGAGGAGTAATAATATTAATAAAAAAGAACATCGAAATAATACATACTGCTAGCGACAACAGGATTGTATAGCAATGTGTGACATGGCTGTTTGTGATGAAACCGTTCACACCCGTGTGTACAGGCTGTGAATGGCTCACGTATTTGTAAAATCTGACTCGTACAACATGGAATTCATATAACACGGAATTATCTCCAGTGTTATAGGGGGATCTACTGTTTTAAAACTGATTAGACTATCGGTTTGCTTACATAAAAAAATCTGACCATTCTGACAGAACGAATGTATATTAAAAATTATTTTTTTTGTCTTCACAAATAAGCTTAATTTACTTAAAGTAATAATTATTAAGTAAATTATCAAAATAATTATATATTTTTATAACGTCTGACAGAATTAATAGAGAAGCAATACGCAGACAATTATGCTAATTTGAATGAACTACACAAAGGAGGATGTAGTATTAATACAAAATATTTTTGAAGAAAAATCTTATTAATATTTTAAAAATTCTCAGAGATTACGAACTAGCCATATTTCTACTTTCATGAGGGTAATATTTGCATACAACTATCCATCCGGAGTATAAATATGAAGTAATAAATATCCCATATTTCGTTATCGCTCTGTACTCTTAAATATTGGAAAGGACATCGTTAAATACAAGTTCTTTTAAAGATGGGTGTAATTTACGAACTATTTGTTAAAATATTTATTATTTTAATAAACCATCGCTTTTCTTGCCACATAAAGATGATTTTGTATAACATCCGCTTGCTCGAAGTAAGTATAAAGTATTTCTATAAATTATAATTTTTAGCACTCTATTATTATTATTAAATCTGAAAACATATTGTTGCATATTTAAAACCCTTTTTTTGTCTCCAGATTGTCGTCATTTCCTTTCTTTCATTGGGAATTCCGATTATATTCTTATGCATTTTGATGTATTATTTGAAGAAATCTGACAGAATTCTTCCTGATAAACAGAAAAAGAAAAAGAAACCTCTAGTATACATGACAGGGCCGCTATTATTATTTGATATACTGATTCAACTATTGACTTCGCCTTTATCAACACTCTGGAAGTATTCTAAGAGAACTTTCAAGGACGACGAAAATAAAAAAAAGAAACGGAGGAGTAAGAAATCTTCTAATAAGCGAAAGAGAGGTAAGAGAGGGAAGAAAAGCAAAAGGAAAACGAAAAGAACAAATGACAAATGGCAAAAACAAGATGACAAATCTAGTATTGAGTATGATACGCTTACTAATGAAGAACAGAAGGAAAAAGAAGAATCTTCTCCACGACGGGGTAGCCAATGCTACGTTGACTTGACCATGTTACCGAATGGCCAAAAAACACAACAGAATTTCGTTAATTTCAACACTTTTCCGAATATTGTACGGCGGGTTCTCAACTTTTCAAGCGTGATTTACGCTTTCATAATGTCCGTGTATATTGCCAGTTGTTCTGACATTACTACGGTAAAATACTTTTCTTTATAATTTTATACAGTATTATATATTTTAATTATATATTATTGAATAAAAAGGTTTTTTTTTCTTTTTTTCCCCAGAATTTTACTTCTGAAAAGGTGATTTCGTAATGCCTCTTCGCTATATCCCGAGTTGAAAGTGGACTTGAAGATTTCTTTTTTCATGAGGATGACAAATGAAACCTTTTAGATGCAAAAACTGATTTTTAGTGAGAAGAAAAATATTTAATAAAATGTTTTAACGTTATGATTTTATTGCTAATACGAAGCTAGTAGAATAAAATTGTTATGAATCTGTCTTATTTCTTCGTAAACAAATTAATTACGTCCAACTTTAATTAAGAATTTAAGATAATTTTTATTATCGATGAAGGAAATCGAATGTTTGACTTAATTTCAATTGACTTTCCGGTAATTAGTGACTTTTTTACATGGAGGGAAGTGACTGTTGGTGGTTATTAACACAAATTACTTCCTTCGTTTTTATAATTTGTCTGCATTTAATTTAACTTATCAAAATTTCAACTTAAAACATTCGTTAATATTTATAATTTAATAACTATTAAATTTTCATAAATTTATCATAGATAATTAAGACTTAAATTCGACTAAAAATCAGGAACCTTGCAATAGAGTATGTTCATTAATGTATTATAATAATAAAATATGTATTCAAATACACTGAGGGGAGGTCCACATCCATTGCAAACTTGAATTAATTTATTATGGATAGGATTAGTAATAACACTGCATTAACAATAGTGATATTAGTATATGATAGAAGTTAAAGTAGCAGCTTACTGTTCTGGGGTATCCGGAATCCAATCCTGATGATCGGAAACACCAAGACACTGTCCGTCCACTATTGTAGGGCCTGGTTGAATCCATAATTGGCTAACTAAAAAAAAACCTTATTAGTGTCCTCGGGGTAGATAGTGTTAAAAAACATTTAAAATTAATTTATTTCCATCCAATTTTATTTAATCATAAAATTAAGCTTTGAAACTGAATTATCTCTACGGGAAAACCTCTGTAAACTTTGACCTATTGATCCGGAACTTTTGCCAGCACCTCAGTAATAAGGAGAAAGGTTAAATTAAATGTAATCAACACAAATTATAAAGGAAAGGAAGTAATTTTTCTATATCTCAGTAAAATTAAATAGAGGAAATTCAATTAAGTCGAACATTTGATTTCTTTCATCGATAACACTTTTATATATACTTAAACTTACATACAATTAAGACGACATATCTACTCGAAAGATGAATTCTTTAATTATATTTTCAGTGATTTTCTCTATTATTATAGGAGATATTTATGGAAAGAGTTTCGATTTCCAACAATTGTTGAGTGAGTATATTTTATAATTTCGCTTCAAATTAATTGTAATAAATCTTAATTATTTATCAAGTTACAATTTAGCTACATAAGATTTTGTTCATTTCTTCCTCCTAAGAATATTAACATTATTTAAACAATAACTATAAATATAAAAATAATAAGATTTAATACACTTTGGCAGAATTATCAACGATTAAGAAGAGAGCTGAAGAAAATATCTTGGAAAATATACTGGATACTGAATTAGATTCCACACCATGCCCCGTTATTGAATGTCTGATAATAACAGATAGTGCCTACGCTGCAAGATTTGATAACGAAGAAGAAATTACGATTATATAAATGATATAATTAGTGGAGTAAGCTTTAAAATCTTTATTTCTTGCGTAATTGTACACATTCAATTGTTTATTATATTAATTTTATTGCGTTTCAGACACAAAATACTATCGATGAATTAGAACTTAGTATAACACTTCGTTTGATTGGACGTATCTCGTATACAGTAAGTTAAACAAATGTTGAAAAGTACCATTTATTTTTCTGTTTTTTGTTTATGCGTATTAACATTTAAGAACGAAACCGAACCGGAATTCATTAAAAAGAATCTGTATACAGAAAGGCACCGTACCATCATTCTTACCGAAGTCACTTATGATATGCGTTATATGGAGAAGATTCCCATTGTAGAAAAGGCCGATATTATTATTGTGATTACTGGGTAAAAATGAATAAAAATTTCTGCTGTATTTTAACGACAGAACTCTTAAACATATTACTGTTTATTGCATGGAAAATCTTTACTGTTCTGAATGTAACATGCTATTGTTACGTAAAATACTGTAAAGAATACATTCGAGCCGAATTTTTGCCATATTTTCATTTATTTCAATATGCTTTTCAACAATATAAATGATGTTTTAGTAGGGTATACGATCTCTCTATCTACAGCCAAAACTGCTGTACATCTGTGTGTCAAGGTATATTCGAGGTATTGAAGAACTTTTTGCCATACCTCAATAAGAGCACTCACAGACTTTCCTAATTGTTTTGAGTAGTGTAGTTAAATGTATTATTTTCTCTGTTTTCTTGTAACAAAAGTTAAGAAATGTATTTTTGTTGCAGACGTAAAATATTTGCACGCATTCGAAGAATAAAAAATAAACTAGAAGAAATCAATGATAGTAAATTTAGCATTTTTAATTAAGTCATTCACTTCAAGAAGATTTCTAATTTCATGTTCTTTTTAAAAAATTATTTGAAGGCATGGGTTGGGTGCGAGGTGCTTGCGATTCGGACATAAAATTTGCGATGGTGAGCGATGACCGTCATCTGTCTTCGACAATTGATAACTTTGTTTACCAATTAGGGAATCTGTAAGTAATTTCTCGAAGCAGTTTTAAATCCCAAAAACATTTTTTAATAAATAAATGATTCTGTAGAATCTACTCAAATGATAGTTCTTTTACCACGAGATATAAAGCAGAAAATTGCTCTACCGAGGTATTACCTGGAGAAAAATATTCTTCTTGCTCTAAGAAATCCGCAAAAAAATTTTTAAAGTAAGTTTTTTTTATATTTTTATTAAACCTGAAGTTAATTTATAATAAACAAGTTAACACTTTAATTTTGTTTTCTACAGCTCACCAAACGGTGCCTGTATGTTCGATAATTGTGACAATAGCAAAGAATGAAGATTGAATTTTTACACGTTCATCGATACATAATAATTTTTTTTTATATTAAAATATAATTGCAATTAATTCAACTGATTTTATGTATTAAATATAAATATTTCATAATGATCTGAATAATAATGTAATTATGTCTAACCCTAGAATGGGCTATTAATTAAACTTTTTGCCCTTTTATAATAATTTTGTAATAAATAAATAAATAATTATAAAGATTAATAACGAGTAAAATCATCATTAAACCCGACCATATTTGAGATATAACACACGAATCCCCTCTATTTCCTCACCCCTTCGGCCTTATTCAACAAAATTTAGTAACACAAATCCCTTAATACATAAAACTCTCTGGAAAATTTCAAAAATTTACGATAAAAAACACGGTAATTATTAAGCTTTAAACTGAGTGAAGAAACTCCGCACATACAGAAAGAAATCCCCTAACACGTAGTGCAAAACCAGCTTAAAACCGAGAATCGGCCTGTTTACTTTACGTGATGAACTTTGACCTGGAATATCTCAGCCCGACGACATACACTGATGGCATNGAAGCTTGCATTCTCGTTATTCCGCATATAAGTGGTATTATTGTCAGACTCAAATGATAGGAATTGCCTTTTTAAGGACCATAATCGGTCCTGGCCCGAACTCGTTCCAGTTCCCGTGCATAGCATGGACAGCTAGCACTCATGGCAGAGTGACCCGTACCCAGCTGTAGGCCGAATTTTTTTATTTGCCTCAGTGCAGTTGACGCACTGAGACTCAGATGCCTTACACTCCTTATAGGAGTGATCATGGGCACATTTGCTACATCTTTGGGCTGCTGCCTTACAGCCCCATGCAATATGCCCGAAGGCATAGCACTTGTAGCACCGAGTGCAGCTCAGATACTCCCTCACTCGGTTGCGGATCCACCCCACATGGAGTCTCCTCTTCTGCAGGAGAGTGTGGAAGACTGGCGGAGCGGTTTCCAACACCCAGTTGGTCATCCCTCCTTTTCCCTTCAATGGGAAACAGGGCCGCAGGTCACCAGTCTGCAGCCCGAGTTCGTTTTAAACTCTAATAGTCTCCACAAGACCGTCGCCCTTGACGTCCGGGTCAACGTCACATAAAATGACCCTCGGTCGGCGCTTCTGGGGTAGTCGGCAGTTGACCGCCTCTCTGAGCTCCTTGGGGCCCTCCGTCAATTCCTTTTGAAGCTTAACGATATCCTGGCTCCTTCGTACCTCTACCAGAATGCCGTTATTGCGGATACGGCGCACATTCTTAACTCCAATTCCGAGTTTGGTCGGGTTGATGTGCGCTTTTAGTAGTGACTTAGTAGCGTCACTGTTCATCGATTCCTTCGCAGGGTAGACCAGGAGCGTGTGCTCCGTGGGGAGACCCCTGCGGAGCTTAGCAGAGTCCCGTGGCCCCTCTAGGCGAGACTTTGGAGCCGGACGGGCAGCAACGGCAGCGTACAAAGCGCCACCGGCGTGCACTGCTTTGCCTACATCTTTCTTCGGCCCTGAAAGCGTAGTTGGTGGTAATTGCTTGCCACCGATGAGCTCTTTCAAGGTCTTAACTTCTGCTCGGACAGAGGCAATCTCAGCCTCCTGAGCAGACATGATCGCGGCCACCTTAGTGAAAAGGCTGTAAATTACAGCGCAGGTACACTTCTGACAATGGTTGTCAGTGCACGCGAGGAGCTTTGTCAGCTCCCCGAACACGCTGTCCATTGCTGCGCGCCGCTTTTCAACCATTTCAAGCATCTCCCGTGTTTCCATGGGCGCCGACAACGGTGTTTCAGCTTTAGTGGCCAGACTTAATTTCCCGGCCACCGCTGCGGTAGGGTTCTTTTTCTTGGACTTAGTCCTTGACCCACCCTTGCTTTTGGAGAAGGGTTTCCCCTTCTCCACGGTCACCGCGGCCTTGGTGGGTTCGTCTTTAGGCTTGTCGCCCTCAGAGTCTGCTGCCTTGGCCTTGGCCGCCTTTGTTTCCTCCTGAGCTTGGTGGTACTAGGCGCGGGCTTCCACTCGCTCTTCCCCCCCTGAAGAGGCAGAATCGAACACTTCCCCAGAACCTGAGCTAGACGAGTCCAAATCGGACTCGCTACACACTGTGGGGATCGACACTTCCACTGCGCCGGTTTGCCCATCGGACATGGGCTCGTGTGGCTGGTCATCGGCGGGCTTGCACAAGCGCAAGGTCCGCCTTTCCTGTGGCTTAGCGATGGCTCTTTCGCTGCCTTCCACACAGACTCCCTCGACATCCATTTCAACACGATCGCTAGAGACATCAGGTACAACATCCGCACGGGTAGCACCCTTAAAGCATTCGCTAGTGCTTTTATGTTTTGCCATCATTAATAGAAATAAAGTAAGAGAAAATTAGGGTGGTCCCGACCTTTCACAGGTGCCCTGAATCCGTTTGGGAATCAAAGTATGCGTTTAAGAGCCAGCTCTGACTTCGGTCTTACTGAGGGCTCATTTTGGCCCTCTTGTTGCCGGGTCGTCACTGCTTAGCCCGCTGCCGGGACAGCTACCCATTTAAATGGCCTCCTACCCAAGGTCGCCCAGCCCGGCTGGTTGCTCGGCTTGGGCCGCCCCATCATCCCTACTAGGAAATGCTCTTCCCATTTCCAGTCCTCTGAGACCATATGCGGCCATCCAACGCATCGTCGGGCCTTTAAGCACCGCTCCCCCCAAGGACATAAGGAAGTTGGCCCTATGTCCGAAGAGCGGCTCTGCCGACTGCCCGTCAGGATAGATACCAGCTAGCAGGGTCCTACAAGCCACTGTAGGCGCTACCCTCCTGGCCACCAGCGAGGCTTCGGCTACAGGATTGCTACTCCTCGCCCTACTGGCTTCGGCATGCAGGCCGTGGCCCCCAAGCCAGCACCAGGTGTGCGAAGCCCGGTCTTCCTCTTGAGAAGCTGGTTCTTCTTTTACCGGACAGAAGGAGCTTTACGTGGTCTGCGTTACCACGGGCTAAGGCTAAGTCAACTGCATTCAACCGCCTTTTGTCGTGAAACATCGGCCCTGTGCCACCAGGTGGATGCGGGAGTTCGCTTTGTGTGTCTCAGTTCCCAGAGGGTGCAGATTGTCAGATCCATGGCCTCCAGTTACTGTGCCGACGCGGGGTTCGAATCCAAAAGTTTCGGCGTCCACTGTGTGCTCCAATGTAAGTAATCAGGGACATAACCCATCAGCCCAGTATACAATGTGCATCTCGCTACAAGCAGACGATTTAACCGTCGCGAGTAGGGGGACTCGGGACTGTTCGCCGTAGCAAAGAGTCCCTACCACGTTACAGCAGTGCCCCTATCGAGTGCCATCACACCGCAGGCCAGCGGGTGCCTACGCTTCCGTCGGCAGGGCTACCAACTTCCGTGAGCAATTGCTAACTTCTGCCAGACAAGTCCAATCGACTACACTGTGCATATCTCGTCCGAAGACAAGCCCTCCCTAGGAACCATATTAGCGACGGCTACAGCAACTTTCCCCCGGCTCCGGACTTACTGAGAACTCATTTTGGCCCTCTTATCGCCGATACCATTAGGGACAGCCCCGTGCCTCGACCGTACCAGTCTCCCTTCTGTTTTGATGTGAGTCTGCATGCCACAATGCCAATAAGCAGCTCTCATAGCCGTCTGCTCCAGCGGGGATAGGCTCCAGAGTAGGGAGATAACGAAACCCCGCCGGAGTCGCCCCTCACCATAGAGCGACAAGCGAACAGCAAGCTTTTTAAAGGCTTGGTACACAGAACCAAAGCCTAAGATGTAATAACGCCTCTGGAACCTTTGGCTCGAGTCATCCGACTCCATCAACGATCGAGACCAAGACGAGTCTTTCAGGACCCAGTACCCGTCGTCTCTAACCGCCTGGCCCCCCCGCCACGTCCAGGCTCGGTTCCCTACCTGGGGGGACACGATTAAAGAAAAACTAAATATGACTGAGGTAATTTTAATCATTTTATGACAATGTAATGCGATTTTACCTATAAAGTAAGCATTTGAGCCTGGCATTGCTCTCGCAAGTGATGGAAAACCAATTCAAATATTCATTCAAATTCGCTAATTTTAGATTTATTGATTTTGGGTTAACCATAAAATCGAAATGATTAAAATATTTATTAATTTCCAAAATCTATACTATATGTGCCACTATTTATTGCTTTTCTTTATTATTTACACTTTAAACTCACTAAAACTAACTGTCTCCTCATCCGTGGAGAGTTGAAATTTCAAAATGGTGGCACATTTAACCAAAAAAATTTTTGACCTAAAATAGTTTTTAAAAAAATGGTTTTAAAGCCTTAATCCTAGATGTTATAGATGTTTAACAGAATAATATACAGCCTATGCCCACCCTGAAGGTCCATTGTAAATATTGGTGAAAGAATTTTTGAAATCAAATGAGTAGTTTCGAAAATTACCTCCTACACCCAAACTTACAAACTTTACCTATTAATTATATTAGTATAGATAATTTATGTAAGTTTTATAATTTATTTATTATTGATATTATAATGGGTAAATGGACAAAGTATTCTCGATCCTTTCGGTAAGAATGGCTTCAAGATAAAAATCTTAATTTTATTAAAATTAATCTGTTTTTTATTTGTTTTCACTAAATTACAATGGAACCTCCATATAATGCAGTTGATGGTTTATTTTTTTAAAAAAATTCGATATATAGAATCTTCAATGTACAGAATGGATGAATGGTTTTTGTTTTTTGGCACAAGAGCCGTACAGGCTATGCTGCGCCAGGGCAAATGGTTAAGAAAAATTTTAAACATGGTAAATAACTAAACTATGACAATAATAAACAAATAAATAAAATAAATAAACAACAACAACGAAAATAAATATACCCATAGTAAGTACAAAAAGACAACAACACACAGAAATGTAATAAATATATAAATAAATAAATAATTAAATTTCTTTATACAAATTAATGACTTTTAAAAAGTCCAATACATTATAATGATTTGGTCTCTGGCCCAGAATCTCTTTAAAACTTCCGTTTCGAAAATGCTGTCTACGACTGATCTCAAAAACAGAGCAATCGAGCAGTATGTGTTTAACACTTAGAGAGCAGTTGCAATACTGGCATACTGGCTGCTCTTCACCCTTCAAAAGGTATTGATGAGTCAACCGAGTATGTCCAATCCTCAGACGAATAAAAATAACCTCACATCTCCTGTCGTAAGGTTTCTTATGTGTCCAATTTTCTATCATAGGTTTGATCTCATGTAGTTTATTGTGGACTTGTGCATTCCACATATTTTGCCATCTCGCCGCTAGTCGTTTCTTAACGACTAGCTTCAAATCGCCTCCTTCAATACGCATTGTATGCTGTGAAAAACTAGCTGACTTTGCAGCTGCATCAGCTTCTTCATTTCCTCTTATACCTACATGGCCTGGGACCCAACAAAATTTTATAGAGAAATTCCTTGCAAGAAGATGGCAAAACAGTTTACGAATTTTAATCACTATGGAGTGAGAACTAGGTTCACATGAAATTAAAGCCTGAAGGGAACTAACTGAGTCAGTGTAAATAACGCAACAACGATGACCTTTTCTGATTACATACTTTAAAGCTAGATAGATAGCGTGCAGCTCTGCAGTAAAGATAGATGAATTCAATTCAATTTGTTCTGCCAAGATTTCATCCTGGCAAACTAAGGCTGAGCCAACATATTCATCCGATTTAGAACCGTCAGTATAAATAGGAATTAAATTCTTGTCTTGGTGTTGAATTTCTGCAAAGTGCTGTATGTAGATATAGTCTGGAGTGGATTCCTTAGGAAACTGCTTTAAGCTAAAGTCAACATTTATCTCAGGGGTTGACCAAGGTTGAATACTATTAACTTCAACCTGTGAAATGTTGCTTGTGTTAAGGTCAATCGCGCTGCTTACATTCTCCATTCTTATGCTGAATGTAGGGACACTACTTGGGCGAGCTTCAAATAACCTTTTCAACTGAGTATCTGATACTGTACAATCAACTGAAGGTTTAGTATAAGATTTCTGTTTTATATAATAAGAAAGAGACAACTGTTCTCTCCTAAGACATAGTGGAGGCTCATAAGCATCCACATACAAACTTTGTACAGGGGAAGTTCGAAAAGCACCAGTGCACAAACGTATTGCTTGATAATGGATTGGATCCAGCATCTGAAGAGTAGATTCTTGCGCAGAGCCATAAACAATGCATCCGTAGTCCAGCTTAGAGTGGACAAGGGCCCTATAAATCCTGAGCATAGAAACTTTGTCTGCTCCCCAGGATGAGCAGCATAATACCTTTAAAAGGTTTAGAGATTTTAAACATCTACTCTTCAGGTTGCGCAAGTGTGGCAAGAATGTCAGTTTTTGGTCAAAACAAACACCCAATAACTTACCCTCATTCACAATTAAAATTTTAACCCCATTTAAATACATTTCGGGATCCAGGTGCAAACCACGCCCTCGGCAAAAGTGAATGCACAAGGTCTTCTCTAAGTTGAAACTAAAACCATTGATTTTGGACCAATTTTCTATGTGATTTAAGGAGGTTTGCAGTTGTCTCTCAATAAAACTCATATTAGTAGACTGGCAGGAAATCTCAAAGTCATCCACATACAGAGTGTTTCACACTGGGAGGAAAACAGTTAGCTATGTTATTAATTTAAATTAGGAACAAAGTCACACTCAAAATACATCCTTAAGGAACACCTTCTTCTTGAACAAAAGATCTAGATACTGTGTTGCCCGTCCTAACTTGAAATCTTCGATTCTGCAGGAAGTTTTTTATAAAAACTGGCAAATTACCCCGCAGTCCGAATTCATGTAAATCACAAAGTATTCCGTAATGCCAGCAGCGATCATAGGCCTTTTCTATATCAAAGAAAACAGACACTAAATGCTGTCGTCTAACAAACGCTTCGCGTATGGATGTTTCAAGTTTTACTAAATTGTCCGTGGTACTTCTGTTCCTACGAAATCCACTCTGATGTGGTGAAAAGTAGTTCTTTTCCTCTAGGAGGAACATCAAACGTCTGTTTACCATCCTCTCAAAGAGTTTACACAAGCAACTTGTTAAAGAGATTGGTCTGTAATTAGAGGGATTCTTCCGGTCTTTACCAGGTTTTGGGATAGAGATAATAATTGATAGTCTCCAAGAGTCAGAAAAAGTATTTTCTGTCCATATTCTGTTAAAGAGATGCAGGAGATTAGAAAGGGAATTGTTTGACAGATTTTTAATCATGCTGTAGCAAATTTTATCCGGGCCTACAACACTATTCCCCGCGCGAGAAATCACTGTTTGTAATTTGATTCTAGTGAATGGCACATTATATTCCTCATTAGATGAGGAGTCAAAGTTTAAATGTTGCTTTTCCTTTTGCACTTTGTAAGCTTGGAAATACCTTGAATACATTATGTTGCTGAATGAAAAGGAAAAAGTTTCACCCAATGTGTCAGCAATACACTGTATATCACTGATTATTGTGCCATTATTTTCCAGCATAGACAGAGAATGAGACGCATATTTCCCATTAATTTTGTGGATTTTATCCCAGACTGCTTTTGAGCTAGAGGAGGATGTTATGCTAGAAACATATTTCCTCCAAGAATCCCTTTGGCTTTGCCTTCTTATTCTTCTGGCATTTGCCTTCGCTTTTTGAAAAGCTATAAAATTATTAGCAGTGGGGTATCTTCTTAAAATTCCCCATGCCTTCTTTTGTGCTTAAAATGCTGCCTCGCAATTCTGGTCCCACCATGGTTTTGGACGCTTTGGGTATCTAGTTGATGTTTTCCCCATTGTTTTTTCCGCTGCCTAAATTATACTAGAAGGTACAACCTCAACTGCATCGTTGATATCTGCAGTATTGACCATTTCCTCAGTGATATTAGCTAAAGAAGAAAAGGCAGGCCAATCTGCCGTTTCAAGTTTCCAGCGTGGTGGACAAGCTGTTTCACAGCTTTCTCTGCCTCAATATTTTAGAAATATTGGGAAGTGGTCACTGGAGAGTAAATTACATCCAACCTCCCATATAAATGCTGAAAACAGGTTTGGACTTGCTAATGAAAGATCAATTGCAATGAATATCCTTGTTGGGGCATGGAAGTATGTCACTTCTCCAGTATTGAATAAATATATTTCCTGGTTGCCGATAAATCTCTCAATGGTTCTACCTCGGCGATTGATGTCGAGACTGCCCCACATAGGATTGTGGCCATTCAAGTCACCTAGTAAAAGAAATGGAGTTGGCAGCTGGTTCAACTAATGCATCCAATTCATCCTCATTCACTCTGACATCTGGTGGCAAGTATATAGAACAAACTGTGACAGTTACTCCAATACAAATTCTGACTGCCACAGCTTGCAGATCAGTGGTTATTTGTACCGGCAAGGATAAAATGTGATTGGAAACCAGAATAGCCACACCTCCACTGGCACGGTTGTGGCTATCATCATCCTTGCGGTATAGATCGAATCCTTTTAAAGAAATATTTTCTCCAGGTTTTAGATGGGTTTCCTGGAGTGCCACGCAGAGAGATTGGGTATATGATGTCAAGTGTTTAATGTCAGAGAAGTTGTTGCAAAAACCACGACAGTTCCATTGGGTTATTTTATAACCCATTATGTGTTTGAGGCAGCATTCTTTGTGAGATTATCTCTCTTTAATCTAACCGGGGGTTTTTCTTTTGGAGGTGATATTGGTTTTGTCACCTNCAAGTGTTTAATGTCAGAGAAGTTGTTGCAAAAACCACGACAGTTCCATTGGGTTATTTTATAACCCATTATGTGTTTGAGGCAGCATTCTTTGTGAGATTATCTCTCTTTAATCTAACCGGGGGTTTTTCTTTTGAAGGTGATATTGGTTTTGTCACCTCCTGATTAGTCTCTTTATCAGAGATATCAGAAAACTCACTCATAGAGTGGGCTTCTGATTTTTTACATTTAGAGAGAGCTGCTTTTACTCTCTGCGTGTTTAGTGGGTTCTTACTAGCCTTTTTAGAACCCAAGTTTCTTGTTTTTACCCCTGTTTTAGGTAGGGGTGTTTTTGGTTTTAAACTCTCCTTTTCTGGAGTTTCTTTTGGTGGAATCAGTAAACATTTCGCATGCCTGCTAAGGGATTCCTTTGAAGAGACAGAAATGTCGGTTTGAACTCTACATGTTTTTGTGGACTTCAAAGCAGCAGCGAATGTTTTTTGTTTTAGTGGTGCACTTGAAGTGACCATTCGGCGCGCCTCTGGGTAAGGTAAGTTGTTTACTGTTTTCACCCGTTGTATCTCCTTTTCTCTTTGCCATGCAGGGCATTTTCGGGAGTAAGAAGGATGGGCATCTTTGCAGTTAACACAGCATGGGGTACTGGTACACTCAGTACTCTCGTGACCTTAAGTCCCACACTGTGCACATACGCTCTTTCCACAACAAGATGTTTGTGAATGTCCAAACCGCTGGCATTTGAAACAACGCAGCGGATTTGAAACGTACGGACAGACAGGGCAGCGCAGATAACCTGCTGTAACAAAAGATGGCAATGTCGGCTTGTTAAAAATGAGGATTAAACGTTTAGTTGGTATTAACTTGCCATCCCGACGAATGCAGATACGTCGAACAGCAGTGACACCTTGGTCTGAAAGACCAATCTGAATATCTGATTCATCTTCAGACATCAGATGAAACTCAGATATCACACCACGTGAAGAGTTCAAACTTTCATGTGGTGTGACTGTGACCACAATGTCTCCCAATTTCTTTGCAGCTAGAAGTTTTGCCGACTGTTGAGGTGAGGCAGTTTCTACAAGTAGGTCTCCTGACCTCAGTTTTTGTGTTTTTTTCAGGTGTCCGATCGTTGATTCAAATAACTTCTGAATCAAAAAAGGGGAGCATTTTGACAAAGGTTTTTCTCCAGTAGCATGCACTATTAAGTAGGATGGCTGACTGGCAGTGTTTTCTGGCTTGTCTTTATTTTTTGAAGGTTTAGGATCCATGATTAAATAATAATATTTCAGCTCCTAGTGACCCCACCCACCATGGGGCCCAACAAGGGGATGCCGTCACATGGGAGAGTCCCATAGACCGTCACACCAGGGTTTCCCAGGAGCTATACCCTCACAATGCAGTCAAGAAGAGCACATCT